GGTGCCCCCTAATGACAGGAGAGCTGCAACATCTTCCTTCATAGGTAGAGATTTTCCTACAGAGGTTCTTCTGTAATAGTGTCTTCAAAGAACAAAACAGAACACCTTGGGCAATATTGAAATAATACTGTAAAAAGTGATGAGATTAAGACTCTGGTAGAACCGGGTGTAGTGGAGCTCAATTGTAATCCCAACACTTGGGAGGCTGAGGTAGGAGGATCACTGCAAATCAAAGACCAGCCTGGGCTACATACTGAGTTCAAGCCCAGCCTGAACATAGCAAGACCCTGTCTCAAAAAAAAAAAAAAAAAAAAAGAAAAAGAAAAACAAAACAAAAAAACAACTAAACACCTCTGATAGAAACTTCCAATTGTCTCCCCATATCCATCCTTTTTCAGTACTGAAACCACACTTTCTATCCTTTTCTTCTGCAATTTAGCTGTTCAAGTGAGTTTTTACCATGAGCATGGAAGCAGAAATGCACATGCAGCCACTCCAACAAGTTTTGGGGGGGGGTGTGTGGAAATTTCGGGGGATGGAGGTGTTCTCTTTCAGTCCTTTTCTTCTGTTTACTAGTGTAGTGGATTACAACTGGTGGTCAATTTAGAACCCCCAGCTGAACTGAGTAAGTGTGGTGCTGGGTGTGGGAGGCCCACCTGGGAACTGTTGCCAGCAGTGTAAGAGGGAGACCTGGAGAAAAGGAAGGAAGGCTTTTGGGAACTAAAGAGGCTGTTGGGAGCAGAGAGAGGCTGTTGGGAGCTGGGAGAAGCTGTGAGGAGCTGTTGGTTGTTTTGGAGGAGCTCGTCATGCTGGCTTTCCTGATGAACTCGGCGGTTTTCTTTCTGCGAGGAGCTTGGGACCTTGTTGGCACTGAGAATAGCTTTGGTTCACTTTGGGGGAGCTCTGGTTCTCACTTTGAGCATCACTTCCTGGCTCCAGAGGGGAAGATGGTGCACTGCCGGTCTCCTGGAGGAGCTTGTTGCGTTGGCTTCCCTGATGGGAACTCAGCCATCTTGATCATTGGAGGAGCTCAGGACCTCACTGTTGCTGAGGATGGCTGTGGTACCTTTCAGGGGAGCTCTGGTTCTTCTGAGTGTCACTTCCTGGCTCCAGTGCAGATCCCTCAGCCTGCTAGCACAGATCCTTCATCCTGCTGGCATAGACTTTCTAGATTCCACCACTCACCTTTGGGCCTTCCCAGCGCAGATCTGTGAAACAGGCCTTCATGAGTCGTTGTTGTGGGCTCTAGGCCTCCAGTTGGACTCGTGGGAGGCACTGTTATGAGCCCTAGGTATTCAGCTGGACCCATGCAGGACATTTCTGTGGGATCCAGGCCCCCAGCTGGATTCCTTGGTCTTGGTGTGTGAACAGATTTCCTGTATGCTTTTGTATATCGTTCTTTGGGTGACTGTTATAAATAATTATATAAAATATGTGTCCTGTATTATATTGTTTCACCTTGCAAAATAAGTCCCGAACCAACACAACTGGGATGTAGGCAAAATAGTGTATTTCTTTTTTTTGTTTTTTTTACTGGTACCAGGAATCGAACTCATGACCTTGCACTTGCCAGGCAGGCGCTGTGCCGCTGAGCTAAATCCCTAAGCCCCCCTCCCCCGCCCTTTTTTTTTGTCTTTTTGAGACAGGGTTTCACTATGCAGTTCAGGCTGACTTTGAGCTCATTCTGTGGCTCAGTCTAGCCTCGAACTTGCAACGATCCTCCTGCTTTAGCCTCCCGAGTGCTAGGATTACAGGTGTGCGCCACCATGCCTGGCATAAAATAGTGTATTTCAAAGGAAAGTGTCCAACAAACATCTATGGGGTACCTAGATCTCAGCACATGTGTAAACTTTCCAGGAGTAACACGACCCAGGAAAATTTTGCAATCATTATGTGACATGAATCTTTCACTTCCTTATCCCTAGGTCAAATGCGTTTGATTTCCATTGGTAATAATAATTGGTAACCAAGTGAAAACCTTAATAAACTTTCCAGCTTTGCTTGCTTTTTTTTTTGCTTCACTTGCTTTGATTTGACTTAAAAATCACTAATTTTGGCGGCCACACAGCAGGGCAACACATTATGGGTCTCCCACAAGCTGTGCTGGAGAAAACATGTTGCTCCGGGGTAGCAGTTAAGGTGGCAGTGGTTGCCTAGGTTACCTTTCAGGGACTTGAAAGCTGCTTCAGCCGGAAATTCTGACTACTCCCTTGGGCCTGCAGAACCGGAAGAGAACACTTGAAACCTCTGTCTTCATGTTGTGTCTGTTCCCTTTGCTGCCTTCACTTATGGGTCCAATTCTCCTCAGATCTGCATGTAGACATGTTGATCATCTGAGAGATGCTTATGTCCCAAACTATAACACAGGGGTTACTGGACCTAGCTGTGTCTCTCCTTTCTCCTCCCCCTTCAAGGCTGAAGACACCCACTGGCCTCCAAGCCCAGGGACAGCAGACCATGAATGGAGCCAAAGGGGCAGCACCAGACCTGGTAGATCTCCGCCCATGAGTGGGAAATGCGTGACTGTGTCTCCCTCCTCATTCCTGACCTGTGTCTGTAATCCCGCAGCTCCCTGGAGCTCAGAAGTTGATTTACAAGCAAATCTCCTGCCTCTCCTTTCTTCGGCCACTTAAGAACACCTTATTTTATCTCATTTATTTTCTTAGCCTGTATTAACTGTGCAAACTGTGGGCTGCACTGTGACAGTTGCACACGGGCACATATTATGCATGGGCCACGTTCGCCCCCACCTCCTACGCCCCGGCCCTCTTTCCTGGCCCTGACAGCCCTCTTCTACTTTGAGATCCTCTTTCTGTCTCTCAGTTCCCAAATGTGAATGAGAACAGGTGATACCTGTGGTTTCAGTCACTTTCCCTGTCCCTGAGACACAACACCTGACACCTGAAGCCTACGGAGGAGAGGTTTATTTTTGGTCACGATTACAGCGCATGGTTGGTAGACGTCAGGCCACTGATGGTGTGGGCCAACCAATGGCCTGGGAGTAGCCCCTCACCTCACGGGGGCAGGAAAGAGTGGAGAGGGGAACCCTTTCAGGCCATGCCCCGTCCCCTGACTCGCCTTTCCCCCAGGGCCCACCTCCTAACAGCCAGTCAGCTATCGCTTCCGCATGATCCAGTCACCTTCCAAAAGCCCACCTTTTGTCTTTTTGAGACAAAGTCTTGCTATGCACTTCAGGCTGGCCTTGAGCTCACTTTATGGCCCAGGCTGGTCTCAAACTTGCAATGATCCTCCTGCCTCAGCCTCCTGAGTGCTGGGATTATAGGCATATGCCACCATGCCCAGTTTTGAGGGACATTCTTTTTTTTTTTTTGGTTTTTCTCTGGTACCGGGAACCGAACTCACGACCTTGCGCTTGCCAGGCAGGCGCTTTGTCGCTGAGCTAAATCCCCAGCCCCTTGAGGGACATTCTTGATCTAAACCATAACACTTGTCTGTGTCTGACTTATATTAATCAAGCTGATGTCCTGCCTTTCAGTCTATTTTTCTGCCAATGACAAGGTTCTGTTCTTCTTCATGGCTGAATAATACTCCATACTACGCATGCACACCTTGTTTTCTTTACTGTTCATCTATAGTCAGGCACCTACGCTGACTCCATATCTTGGCGATTGGCAATTGTGAATAATGCTGCAATAGACATGGGTGTGGCAGGTGCCTCTTTCTTATGTTGATTTTGCTTCCTGCAGGTATGTCCCCAGGAGTGGTAGAACTGGATCATATGGTAATTCTATTTTTAGTTTTCTGAGGGGTCTCTATACTGTTCTCCATAGTGGTTGTAGGAATTTACATTCCCACTAACAGTGTATAAATCTTTCTTTTTCTCTACATTTGTCAGCATGTGTTTCTTTTTTTTTTTTTTTTTTTTTTTTTTTTTTTTTGGTCTTTTTGAGACAGGGTCTCGCTATACAGTTCAGGCTGGCCTTGAGCTCACTTTGTAGCCCAGGCTGGTCTCAAACTCGCAGTGATCCTCTTGCCTCAGCCTCCTGAGGATTTGTTTATTTATTTTTTTGGTTTTTTTCTGGTACTGGGAATTGACTCACGACCTCACGCTTGCCAGGCAGGAGCTGTGCCGCTGAGTTAAATCCCCAGCCCCAGCATTTGTTTCTTTTATTATAGACATTCTAAGTGGGGTGAGGTGGACTCTTAATGTGGGTTTTTTTTGAGGGGGTTACCAGGAATCGAACTCAGGATCTTGTGCTTGCCAGGCAGGCATTTACACTGCTGAGCTATATTCCTGGCCCTCAATGTGGTTTTGATTTTTATTTTCCTGATGGCTAAAGATGTTGAGCATTTTTTTTTTTCATATATGTATTGGAAAAGCGTTTTTTTCCTCTCCCACACTAGTCTCTCAGACATTGGTTTTGACATGGGATGATCTGGGTTTGGATATACCAGTGCTTACACGGTGTTTTTCCCCCAAAACCAGAAATGGGATTTTGTATTTTGTAGGAAATTGAGGACTTCCAATGACTACTGAAGTTATGCTGAAAATTCGAGGCCCTATCTCTAACGGAGACAAGTAGAGAGACGTGTGTCTCTGAGAAAGCTAAAAATCTCGGTGGAGAGATGGAAAAAATTGTCAGGTCAGAATCAAAAGACTAATTCTGTTATGCTGGTGATCTCAGGCACCAGTACCAGTTAAGTATTCTTGAGTGAGTTAGCTCCACTTTTCTAGGACTCCGTTTCTTTTCTTTTAAAATTATTTTGATGTACTTATTTTTTTGAGACACGGTCTCGCTATGTAAATCAGGCTGGCCTCGAACTCACTGCAATCTTCCTGCCTCAGCCTCCCGAGTGCTGGGATTACAGGTGTGCAGCATTTGTACAGGGGGATTTACAGAAAGGCATCGCTAAAGACCCCTGGTTTTTGAGCCCCTTCTTGGAGCGGAGGCCGTCAACAGGCAAAGGAGGCTCCATCCTATTGTAGGCGTGGGCGTGTGAGCTCACAGATGCTGCACGTGAAGTCCGCGTGCACAAAGGCCGCGGTGGGAGTTCGAAGGTGGCAACTGCCGGACGAAGAGAACGGTCTACAGAACAGCGAACCGGGAGGTGAGGTCTCTGGACCACCGCTCCCGGAGGCCCGTGGAGCCCAAGCGTCCCGACACCGCCCCCAGGAGCCCCACCCCCGGTCGGCCGCTTACTTCACAGCGATTGGTCCCCGCGGAGCGCACCGCGTCGCGCCTCGCTCCGCAACGCTGTAGCCCCGCCTCCTGGCCTATCGCCCCTCCTCTTAGCGGCATGCCCCGCCCCCGGCGGGGACACTTGCTGCGCGTTGATTGGTGGCTACCGTCCGCACGGCGTCTCGCCCCGCCCCACCGGCGCCCTCGCCTTGCGCCGGTCGCCGGCTCGCGCCTCCGGGGCCTGAGGAGGAGCGCGAGGCTGCCGCCCCGTTACCGCGCAGCCCCTCC